ATTACGTCCGTGATGTCGCAGTGCCATGCGGATTTGCGCGGCCTTGGAAGGTGTATTATTTTCATTTCGCCATTTTTTCTTGAAATCGATGTTTTTCGATGTTTTTTCTATTTAAATTTTGTGAGAACACAAAAACTTAACCTCCAGGCCCCTGACCCGCCCCCGCGCTAAGCAACTTTTTTCCTCCACCTGCCGTGGGTCTCGGTCTGGCTGTCATGTGGCGCCTCCAATCCGAGGTAGCCCTGACTGGCGCCTCATGGTATTCTGAGGTGGCCACTTAAGAAGGTAGGTGTCTGGACTCATGTGCTGGATCCAGATCATTGCGATGTTAGCGGCGTCCACACTTTCGAACTTCTTCAGGGAGATTTGCCACCCGAGCCCACGATCCTCTGAGATCACTGAGTCAGCAATCTCGGGCTCGAGTGTGCCTGGCTGATGTGTGACTTCGGCGTTGAAAGTGAACCACCGAGTCACGATCCAGGCACTTGGCCTTCCAGACTGCATAAGTGTCTACGCCATGCTGCAAAGATGATAGTAGCGCTTCAAAAGCCTGTTTTTCAAGCTGCCCAGCGGAAATCTTGGGGCCTTTGCTCAGCGCTTCCAATTTGCCATCGCGGTTGGCTATGCAAGTAGCGATAAGCTCTCTGAAAGGTGTCAGCTCAGCAGGCTGCCATCCCTTTTTCAATTCTGAGATGGCGCCTTGTAATTCCAGCTCCAGGTTGTTGTCTCCATCCACGAAGTCTTGTAGGATTTTGTCTTTCGCTCCCCCGGGCAAAGCGTGCTTGTCTTGGATTTCCTGCAAACATGAAATCAAGAGCTGACTCATTTGCGTTGCCTCGGTCATTGCAGCCGTGTCCAATTTGGAGCGAATTGCACTGAACAATGCACGTAGCGGACCAGCAATTCGTAGCCTTCGGATGTTACCGCTAGCCTTTTCTGCCATGCTCGGTCGCTGTTTGCACGTGGCTGAAAGCCAGGCATGGGCTTCTTGTTGCTAAAAGCGGTCTCATTGAATGCGCAGCCATCAAATCCAAATTCGGATACGTGCTGTAGCAACGTAGGATAGGCACTGCTCGGGTAAATCTAAGAGTGCCACCAGGCCCGTCCTTTTGGCCCCCTGGATGGCCGAGTCCTTCGTGGCACTTTCATTGTATTTTTTGATGATTTCAGCTGGCTGCAGCCCTTGCAATTTAAGGGTATGCAGCTTGCCCGCCCATGTGATGACGTCATGGGCCTTACGGATTGCTCCGCGAGCGGACAACCGTGCGTTCTCCATGGCGATGGTTGCTGAATCACTTGCGGCAGTGCCAAGTCGGCAATACACTGCTAGCAAGGATTGGCGCAAGCTTGGATTCAAAAGCTGCACATCGACTTTCAACTCATTCAAAACAACGTGCGCCAGCATCAGCATGCTGGTAGCACGAGCAGCCCCTTGCAGGTAGTGGGTCCAAAACAACGCCCCCGCCTCAAGCTCCTCAGAGTATTTGAACTCCGAGGGCAGGTCAAGGGGCTGCTGATACAGAAGCAAAGGCTCCTGTGCAGTCAGACAAGTGTTCATTAAATACTCGTCTGCCAGGGCCGCTGCCGTGACTCTAAAAGTCATAGGCTTGGAGCTGCAGCACTCCACAAAGCCCATTTGCCACAAAGACACCCGAAACGTCTCACTCGGGTCGTGGCCCCGACGCAACTCAAGGCTCTCCAGGTGGACAAATCGGTCCGCCTGGGAAAGGCAACCTGAAGCTGCTCAGCGAAATCTTTCCATTTGGAGTTTCCTGGGCTGCCCAGTTCGCGCTTCAGATATTGCACTGGACCTCCACAAGCCTCGAGGTGGAAGTTCATGGCTGTCCAAGCGACTTCCTTGAAGTTAGCTTCAGTGATTGCCATTGATGCCGCTGGTGTGGGTGAGGGGCCTGATGTCCGGAGGATAGTAGATGGTTTCATGGCCACGTCCTCTGAAGCCTCGGGCTCTGATTTCTTGTTATTCTCTGGGTCCTCTTTCATCTCTTCCTTCACATCCATGGCGTCTGGCAACCCTACCCGGTCTCCTTACCGAGCCCAAGCTTTGGGAAAGCCGCCAGAATTCTAACTCAATGTTAAAAACCCATTTTGCGACTAACTGGGGGGGGTCGAAAAGTGACCCCCCGAGATCGTCGCGTTTCAAACGAAACGGCACTAACTCCCAGCCCAAACCCTGGATCGTGACTAACTGGGGGGTCGAAAAATGAAACCTTAGATCGTCAAGTTTGTATAACCTAGATCAAGAAATCGTCGCGTTTCAAACGAAACGGCACTAACTGGGGGGGTCGAAAAGTGACCCCCCTAGATCGTCGCGAAATGGATTCAATCATGGTTTCTGAGGGTCTGATGGTGACTCGTTTGATAGTCTGGCGCTGGCGCGGTCGATGCTATGGTCTGTTTTTCCGCCAGTGAGTCCATATTCAATATGTTCCCAATCATACTACTCAGCCGCCACCCATCACTACGCGCAAGTGGGCTTGATTCAAATGGCCGCTTGCAACCATCCTCAGCTTGATGAGCTTATCCTGGAGTCAGAGCGGCAGTCCCAGACTGCTGGGCCCACTCCGACCGCACAGCGTCTGCCAGGTGGTCCACCAATTCCCGGGAATACACTTGGCACCATGAAGAGAGTTGAAGACCCGATTCGGAGCCTTGGATCACTGCGTGCTCCTCGGTGCAATTGCACAGGAGGGGAGAAAAGATGTTGTGGATCTCCCGGCTGTTGGTCATCAGAACCGTCCTTTTTTGGATAGGTTTCAAGCCGGAAGGAGTCCTCAGACCAGTTCGACACTGGTCAAAAGAAACCAGGAACACATTGGGTTGGGTTGCAAGTTGGGCTACTGATGCTCTGCGCCAACTGGATGCGCCCGATGGATGTTCATGACAGAAGAAACGGTTGCCTCTCAGCCGCCGATCGGCAATATGCATAGCAAAATCCAGCATGCAGTTGGCATCTGCAAACCTCTGTTTGCGAATCTGCGGCTGCATTTTTTCAACTTTAGGTTTTGCATTTTGCTGAACATAGTGCATGGCGGAGATAGCATGACGAAAAAAGGTGCATGCGTCTCATACAATCTCAGTGCTCTGGCGCGATCTTCAAACTTCAAGAAATCTAGCCAGTCATCAAATCAAAACTGTACCGCGCGAAGAAGCCAGTTCTTCGTAGCGGCAGTGCCACCCGTGGAGGTGAATAAAACTCCATGAAGTGGTGGGGAAGGCACTGAATCTGGTTGGCGCCGTCTGCTTCAATTTTGTCGATGACCAAGTCACACAAACTTGAACTGGCTTGCAAGGCGCCTTCCCATGCAAGGAGCAGGCCCTGGATCCGATACGGATATTTGCAGCTGCCTAGCGGATGAGTCGGCTTTGATATGAAATGATTCAGTGTCCCAAAACTTGCGCTTTTGAATATACTTGAAGGTCTTGTAAAATAGATTTATCACCCTAACCGGTTCCCACAAAATGATATATCATCCACATCACTGCATCATTATGCGCCCGGAACCAGGCCTTGGTGGTCGCGGAGGTGAGCTTTTTGGCGCCTCCATCATCTCAATATCGGAGCCATCCTCGTCTGAGCTGCCAATTATGGTTATGTCCTCCACATGCTCCCAATGAGCTGTTCAAGGTCTTCTTAGACCCTAGTGTGGCTTGTTCGAGTTTGAGCCATCATGGTGCCATGATGATGCATGTCTCCGATT